CTACTGAGCACCTTGGGAGGCAGCAGTGATGGCTCAGGTCGCTGGGTCTGTGTCACCCATGTGGGAGACTTGGGTTGGGTGCCTGGTTCCTGGCTTTGGCCTGCTCCAGTTCTGGCTGTTGTAGGCATTTGGGGAATGAATCAGCAGATTGGAGATCTCTGTCTCTCACGTAATAAAATAAATAAGTAAAAAATTGAAGAAATTTTAAAAAAGGAAACATGAGGCTACTATGAAGAAAAGTGGCAAAATAGGAGTTTTTGCATAGTCGAAAGAAAATGCACCTGCTCTGGTCCCATAGGTGACCCAGCAACAGGCAGCCTTTTGTTGTGGTGTGGTTGGCGTCAGCACAGCATGTGTGATAGTTGCCATATTGTCTGAGATGATGAGCCTTGGAATTAAGCTTTAAACAATCAGTGACTGTAAATGGATTGCAATAATGTATCGGCCCGTGTCAACAGTTTATCATGAGCGTCGCAGGAAGAGCCCCTCTGCCTGCCATCCGGTTCCTGGTTCTTGCCACAGAGAGCTGTTTTCTGGGACTGGTGGAAACCAGATGCTTGCAATGCAAGCGTTGCTGACTCAGCTCTGCAAGTGAGTGGTTTCTGCTTTCTAGGCGTTGGGTTTTACGGCGCTTGTTCTGACAGATGCTCTGGCTCTGTGACAGCTCCGGGCTCTGTGCATGTGGGCACATACTGAGATCTTCGCTGTCATCCAGCTGCAGGCAGACAGCTGCTTGTGCGGCGTGAGGGGCAGCGTGAGTTGTTGGTTGTTTTGCACTCGGTGCTCCTGTGCATAGTGTTAAGGTTACCTAAGAAACAGTTGCCGTCTCCTGGAAGCTTAGTTCTTACAGCTTTATCGCTTACGGAAAGAAACAGTTGTTTCAGGAGATCCTCCTAGTTAGAAAAAGGAAGAGGAGGATGGTTAGAGGAGCAGAGCTCCTTGGAGAAGCCCCCCCGACAGACACCTCTGCGAAGGGTTCACACTTGTGACTGCGCCAGCCGCCCTTCCTGAGGGAGAAGTACCAGTGTGGCTTTAGGAGTACAGTAGAGGCTCTGTTTCCCTCATCTACGTGGTTTCTCTCTCCCTGTAACCTGAGACTACCACACTGCCTCAGTACATTTGCTGTTGCTGAGAAGTACCTGTGGTGCAGGCGTTGTGGTGCAGTAGGTTAAGCTGCTGCCTCGGACGCCTACATCACGTATTGGAGTGTCTGTCTGAGTCCCCGCTACTCTGCTTCTGGGCCAGCTTCCTGCTTATGCACCTGGGAGGCAGTGGAGCTTGGGTTCCTACTACCTACCTGGGAGACCAGGGTGGCCTTCCAGGCTGCTAGCTTCAGCCTGACCCAACCCTGGCTGATGTAGGCATTTGGGGAGTGGACCAGTGGTTGAAAGATCTCTCTCCCTCTCTCTGCCTTTCAGATAAGTAAACCTTAAAAAACAAAACAAACAAAAAAACAAAAGAAAATACCTGAGGCTGGGTACTTATAGAGAAAAGACTTCCAGCACGAAGTCACCACTTCCAAACTCCCGCAGCTGCCTTCCTGCTCTCTCTCTCTCTCTTTTTTTTAAGATTTTATTTATTTACTTGAGAGGCAGAGTTACAGACAGAGAGAGGGAGAGACAGAAAGGTCTTCCATCTACTAGTTCACTCCCCAAATGGCTGCAAAGGCCAGAGCTAGACTGATTTGAAGCCAGAATCCAGGAGCTTCTTCCGGGTCTCCCACGAGGGAGCAGGGGCCCAAGCACTTGGACCATCTTCTGCTGCTTTCCCAGGCCACAGCAGAGAGCTGGATTGGAAGGGGAGCAGCCGGTGCTCATGTGGGATGCCAGCACTGCAGGCAGAGGCTTAGCCCACTAAGCCATAGCGCCAGCCCTGCCTTCCTGTTCTTAATCCACAACTTCCTGGCACAAACATGTGCCTTGTTTTCCTCTTGTTTTGGGTAGCTAACCTCCATCCCATGTGTCTGTCATTGAAATAGCATGTTCTGCGGTTCTGCTGAAACAAAGCCAGAATTTTCAGAGATGTGATCCCAAATAAAGTCTGGTAAAAGCCCAGCTTGCTGGGTGCAAGGTTTACCTAATTCAGCTGCAGAAAGGATGGGCCTGCTTCTGACAGCTCTGCTGTGGCTTTGCTTTCCATTCTCTAAGTCAGGGTCAGGGGTGGGGAACCTTTTTATTCCCAAGGGCCATTTGGATATTTATAGCACCATTCGCAGGCCATACAAAATTATCAACTTAAAAATTCACCTGCTATAGATTTAACGCATTTCAAGTTCCATCTGCAGTTGCTCTGGGAGGGTCAGACTAAGTGATGTCGCAGACCTTATATGGCTGGCATATAAGGGGATGTTCCCGGCATCCCTTACCCCTCTTGTAGCCAGAGATTAATGCCAGAAAGATGGTATTGAACTAGGATGAAATGTTTCAGTTACCAAATTCCATCCTATAATTTTAGTTTGTGAATACCTTTCCAACGGAGTCACCTCCAAATTAAGGACTTATGGAGTAACAGTCCTTCATCCCAGTGCTTCCAAATGCTACAATGGTGATCTTGCACATCTACGCCAAGTTTGAGGGAATTAACAAAATCCAACATCGGGTGGGCATCACCGGTTATGCCTCGGTCAAAACACTTAAGCAGGAAGAGTATTTTCGGTGCCAGTGTTATGTTTGCCTGTGCATGCGTTGGTGGGTATTTGACGTTTTCTCCCAGAGTGGAACGCGCTGACCAGGCCACGCGAGTATCTGGCAGTTTATTTGGAATCCATCCAATCAGAAAGCAGAACTAACTAGGGTCCTTGTCTTCTGGTCTGTACAAGGTGAGTGCAGGTCATTGGGATGCGTGAGAGCAGAAGTGCTTCTCAGCCGTGGAAGATTCGGGGTTGTTCACTACCACTTACAGCATCAGCCAGAAAAATCCAAAATCTGAAACACTCCCCAGTCTGAAACCTTTCAGATGTCACCAAGATGCCACAAGTGGAAGGTTTCACACCATGAAGCTTTGTTCCAGGCACAAAATTATTTAGCTATTTTATTTAGAATTCCCTTCGGGCCATGTGTATAAGGTGTCTGTGAACCATAAATGAATCATGTGTTTAAACCTGGGTCCCATCCCCAACCTATCTCATTGTGAATATGCAGATATGCCAAAATCTGGAGGAAAACAATCCCAGGTCTGAAACACTCCTGGTCGCAGCCTTTCAGACAGGGGCCTGGAGCATTGGCCAGGCCTCATCCGAGTCCTCCACTGCTTCTGTCCACTTCTGTCCCCGCTGTGTTCCTGGTGTCCCCGCTCAGTGAACCTGCAGCCGCCCCAGGCATGGGCAGCCGAGGCTGCAGGAGAAAGGGCTGCGGCTGTTCTGCTTGGTGCCACCAGTCGTGGCCTTGACCTTCATCCGGGCAACTCCCAGTCCTAGGGACTTCCTCTCTGTTTCCCAAGTCCTTTCTCTCTGTATTGCCTGGCTGTTTTTCTTTTCCCACCACACACAGGCTGGCCTTGGTGGACACCATCTGTCTCGTCTCCCTGCTCCCTGGTTGCAGTCCTGCCTGGCCCCTCACCTTGTGTTTCACCTGTTGGGCTCACCCAGCCTGCTTCCTGCCTGGCTTTCCAGATCCCGTGGGATACTGCACCCTCTCCCCCTGCTGCCTCCCCAAGCCTCAAACACACATGCACGCATGCATACACACACACATGCACAGTCACACACATGTACACACACATGTGCTGCGTACACCCACGCACACGATTTGCCATTTGCAACCATACTGAGCTTCTAGGAAGCAGACACGTTCCCACCTCCCTTTTCCTGGGCCCTGGCTTGCACCTCCAGCACCAGGCTTCTCCTGGTGACCTCTTCATCCCCCTTCAAGTCTGAGGGAGCATCCCTAGCCGAAATATTCAGAAGCTGAAGTGTTCCCATGTCTGAAATTTGTTGAGTGCCGCTCCCAACACTTCCGGTCTCTAGCATTTTGAATAAGGGGTACGTAGCCTGTACTACCTCCCGCAGAGCACTTCCAAGCTCCTGTCTTCCCCTGCAGGGAACCAGTTAAGTGCCCCTCTCTGCCAGCCCCTAAGACCTGCCCCTGCCCTCCTTTTGTTCTTTTCCCATATTACCCATTTGTTTGTATTAACTCGTGTTGATAAATGACTGGCCTTGTGAGGGTTAAGCCAACATCTGCTCATAGCTGTTGCCTGGTGCCTTGAAATGGGTCTGGGCACACTGTCGCCTTTGAGTAAAAATTTTTGAGTTAATGAATTCACAAAGTTTGCAGTCATCACCATGGGAGAACTAGGATGGCACCAGCTGACATTAGTTGAGACTTTCCCATGGAGCTGGGGTTGTTCCAGTAATGTTACAGGTGTTAATTTCTTTCTTTCTGGCAGCAAGCCTGCGGGATAAGCCTTCTTACTGTGTGCTTTAGGAATGATGAAAGTGGGGGTGGCAGCCTGCAGTGGTAACCACTGCTCTGTCCACCCTCTGTGTGTGTGAGCAGGAGCTATAGGGGCTGCTGGGAGGAGCTGGGCATCTCTCTGCCCCCTGACGAATTACAGTCCGGGGCAAACGAGAGCAAAAGGAAACTTCCACTATGAAAGGATCAGTTTCTAGGTGGACGTATGCACAGGGTGGTATGCCAGGCCAGAGGGGGATACTTGTACTTTCTTTGAAAACTAGAAAATGATACTTCGTATGAATATAATCTAATAACCCATTGTATAAAACACACTATTTTCTGACTATTCTAACAAAATCTCATGTCACAAAGCAACGTAGCAAACTACATTGCTAAATACATTTAACTTCAAAAAGGGAAGTTCAATAAAGGGGTAGATTATGAAGTTTCTATAGATTTCCATCTCCTTGGATAATGGAATGATATGTACCAAAATTGTAGTAACACCCATTTTGGCTTTTTAAAAGAGGGGGCATGTCACCAAATCGATTTTTAGGTGCTGTTCCCACAGCCTCACGCCGACCTGTGTTGTTGTGGATGCCCTTACAGGAGAATCATGAAGAAGGTGTGCATGGAGCCAGCCGAGCGCCTGGCCAGTCTCCAGGCGCTGTGGGACAGCCAGACGGTGGCGGAGCAGGGCCCCTGCGGTGAGTGGCTGGCTGGAGGGTCCCCATCCCCCTGCCAGGGAGTTAAATCTATTTCTAGGATACTACGGTGAAGGTACAGTTAGCTTTAAGGTATAATTAGCAAGGCACAGACATCACATTGGTGCACGAAAGTCCTGTATTTAAGCCGTTGATGCATCCTGCTCTGTAGTTACTGTCGAACAGGGGGAATCTTTTCTGTTGTCCCAGAAGAAAGAATAATGAGCTCTGTCAACTTTTACATTTTAACTGCAAAGCTCTTTTGCTGAAAATCAGCCCTTCACCGTTTCTGTTCTGTTTCAGGTGGATTTTCTCAGATGTACGCCTGTGTTTGTGACTGGCTTGGGTTTGCGTACAGGGAAGAAGTGCAGTGGGTGAGTGTATCACTGTCCATGCGTGTTCACACACACGTGCATGAACGCTCTGCAGAATATTCTAGCGTTCGACTGCCTTGTTTCCTTGCTCTTTTTTTTTTTTTCTACCACTTTGTCTTCAGAACCTTCCTTGGGTCGTGCAAACATCTGCCTGTGTTGTTCTTTAATTCTCTGGACTGTGTCTTGCTTCTGTGATTGTTTAAGTTATGTTTCCGATAGGATGTGGACACGATCTATCTGACGCAAGACACCAGGGAACTGAATATCCAGGACTTCAGTCATCTCGACCACAGGTAGGCTTCGGCTTGCCGTCTCCCGGTCTGTGTTCCGAGCCGCTGCTCTCGGGTGGCACTCAGGGATCTACATGATTTCTAGGGAATCCTTTCCTGAGGGTCTTTTCTAAGGAGAGTCTCAGGATCTTGGATTTTGTCTCCCAAGCAATAGCCCGAAATAGAAGTATATTGGACACTATGGATGGCCCGTGGGGATGCGTGTGTGTACCCCACACCCACGGTGTATAGTTAGAAAATGTGCAGACTCTCAATGTGGAAACAGTGTGATTTTTTTTTTTTTTTTGGTTCTCATTCCAGCCCACAAAAGCCCATTTAATCTATGCTGTATAGAAAATGTAGTTGTTTTACCTAATTACTGTTTAGAACCTTTTTCTGTGGCGGAGTTTTAGACGGAAATCCTAGCTAATGACTGTAAGTGCCCTGTTTCTCCGTGCTTTGGGGATCACTAGGCAGTACGTGCACATGGTAATAAGAATCGGTTTGAGAAAATCTTCCTTGTGTGGTGGCAATGAACCAGTGAGCGCGGTTACAGGTTTTTGGAGAGACTTGTGAGTGGTGAGCCCTTGGCATGAGAGTCTGCAGGTCTGTGGTCGCCTGAGCCAGGCCAGCCCTTGGCCAGTTCCCCCTTCTCAGTGCGAACAGACCTGTCGGCCGCTCTCTGTTCTCTCCCTGGGACAAGGCTTGGCCCCTTCCTTTCCAGGATGTCCGTTCATCCTGGCCCATTCAGTCTGTTCATCCCAGTCTGCTGCTGCTTGCTCTAGGTGGGCCCCCGTCCAGGGAGTTTTTTCTCTGTGTGTGGATTGAGAGAGAAATCCAAGATCCCAGCTGTGCTGATGCCACGTGGACACCTGGAGCAGCACTCAGGATTGATGTTGCCAGTACCTTGTCCCCCAAAATAATGCTGCAAATTATTTTTCCGCCTACCTGGGAGGAAATCCAAGATCGTCCAGGGTCTCTGAAGAGGCCTAGCCCACAGCAGGGGGTGGGGACCAGGTATCCTGGATGGATGTGCCTCCTCCTTGTGCCTCCTGCATCTTCGGGGCTGGGAAGCAGGCTCGGACGGTTCCGGAATGGAGCCTGAAGACCTCGAGTCTCGCTCTCAAGGCTGGGTTTGCCCCTCTTTTGGAGGGGCAGAGTTTTCTCTTGCTTCCTGTATGTGACGGGACTTCCTACTGCTGGATTTAGGCAGGCTGTTTCCTAAGTAGCTCATAAAAAAAGTGAACCCAGAGAGAGAAAAAGGGACAATATTTCTCTGTGTAAGAGCTTTCCAGTAAAACACAATAATGTGCGGCGTAAGATACAAGTACTCAGGGCTCTGGATCGGGTTTCAGTGTTTCTGGTCCCAGGAACCCTTCACATTTGAAAGGTGGGCCTTTGTGTATGTGGGTCATGTCTATGGGTACTTACCTCATTACAGATGAAAACTAAAATTAGAAGTGTGTATTAACTCTTTGCAGAATAGCATTCATGGAGGCTAACGTAGATGACGTCTTTAGGAGGGATCAGTCTATTTCTCCAGGAGCTAAAGTAGATGAGCAAGAAGTGTGGCACCGGTTTTCGCTTTCACCGACCTCTTCAGCGTGGGACTTAATGGGAGACAGCTGGATTCTCAGTTCCGCTCCCGCCTGCGGTCTGCTCTTTTGACTGACATGCACAGAGAGAAGCCCGTCTCTCACTGATGTGTAGTTAGGAGAGGCAGTATTTTTAGTAGCCTTTCTGCATAACTTGTGGGTATTCTTTGATTTTCCATGATGCCCAACGAGTGCTGGTTCCTTAATGGTAAGTCGCAGTGTCCATGCTGAAACCTTACCAGGAAGCTTTTTGGTGTTTTGTTAAAAGGCATTTGGTCTGTCTTGTACTTTGAATGGGTTTGACCTGTACCTGACTGTGTGGCATCTAGAGAATACTAATTTACCGAGTTAGACGTGACTTCCAAGTACTTTACTTTTGTTGTGCAGTACTGAAAAGACAAGAAGGCCGGCACCACGGCTCACTTGACTTTTGTGGAGAGGTGATGGATTTTCAAAGCTTGTTAGACGTCACCCCTTCTGCCCGTAACCACCTACAGTGGCTTTTTCCTAGAAGCCCAGTTCTTCACTGGATAAAACTTCACAAATGGGCCAGTGCCATGGCTCAATATGCTAATCCTCCGCCTGCGGCACTGGCACACCGGGTTCTAGTCCTGGTCGAGGCGCCGGATTCTGTCCCGGTTGCACCTCTTCCAGGCCAGCTCTCTGCTGTGGCCAGGGAGTGCAGTGGAGGATGGCCCAGGTCCTTGGGCCCTGCACCCGCATGGGAGACCAGGAGAAGCACCTGGCTCCTGGCTTCGGATCACCACAGCGTGCCGGCTGTAGCGGCCATTTGAGGGGTGAACCAATGGAAAGATTTCCCTCAATTCAAATTTTGGGTTCAGATATGTGATTTTACTTTTGGAAAAAACTTTTGGGGTGATTTTTTTGAAGTGGCAGAGCTCACCTCTTACATCTTAGACCAAGTCTGCCACATCCCAGATCTGATTGGCCATCAGTTATCTGTCATTTTCCTCAGGGTTCTGTTAGAAAAGAAGTTAGCTCTGCATATGGCTTCAGCCGTTATGCAGATACTTGGCCTGCAGACCCTTCTCACTGTGGTCACAGAAGCGTTTTGTGTGTACTTCCCATTTAGTTAGAATATTAAAAGGCTTGCTCAAGGGTTGAGATTTTTGTAAAAGGAATAATTTTTACTGCTTCACCAGGGACACTGAAGTGTGTTTTACAAAAGCGGTGTGGCTGTGTATGGCAGTGGGGGATCCAGCCGAGGCTGTCTGGCTTCTCAGCTGGAGAATTTCCAGTTTATCAGTCAATACTGCGTTAGGGGGTGGGCCAGAATCATTTCCTTTTCTTGCTTGGCTAAGGAGCTAGAAGGACTTTTCATTCCTGAGACTCTGGAACAGGGAGAGACAGCCTCTTTGTAAAGGGCCAGATAGCGCATGTTGTCTACCTGGAGTTAGGTGGTTCTACTGTAGCAGTGTGAAAGCAGCCGAGAGCGTGTGGCTGTGTCCCAGGAGCCCTGGATCTTGCCATCGGTGCCTCTAAGGTGGGGTTCTGTCTCCAAAAGGAAATAAAAGAAATACAGTCAGCCCTCTGTGGATCAGAAATATTCAGAAAAACAATGGCATCAGTACTAAACATGTATGACTTTTTTCTTGTCATTATTCCTTAATAAAGTATAACAACTGTTCACATAGCATTTGCATTGTGTTAAGTATTGTAAGTAATCTGAAGATGATCTGAGGTATAAAGGAGGATGAGTGTAGGGTGTGTGCAGATATTACCCATGTGTTATAAGGGGCTGTAGCTTCTTGGTTATTCACATCTGCCAGGGGGTCCTGAAGTGTTCCCCCGAGGACACTGGGGCTAACTGTATTAGAACTATTTATATTTGTTATTGACTTACTTGAAAATGTATCTATTTTACTATTGTAGTTTTTATTGTATAATAAGAAAATATTTTAAAAAATAGGGTTGTTTTCAAATATTTTTTATAATACTGGGCTACAAAATATAGGTTGCTGAGAGCATCTCTCCTGCTGATTTTTAAGAGCTTAAACTTTTCCTCAGAGCTCTTTATTTAAAAGTGAGAGAGAGAGAGAGAGAGAGAGAGAGAGAGAGACAGAGAATCTTCCATCTGCTGGTTTTCTCCCCAAATGGCAGCAACAGCCAGAGCTGGGCCAGGCTGAAGCCAGAGCCAAGTGCTTCTTCCAGGTCTCCCACATGGGCGCAGGGGCCCAAGTACTTAAGCCATCTTCTGCTACTTTCCCAGGTGCATTAGCAGGGAGCTGGATGGGAAATGGAGCAGCCAGAGCCCCTATGGGATGCTGGCAGCTTAACCTGCTGGGCCACAGCGCCAGCCCCTACAGCTCTGTCTTAAGGACCTTCAACTTCAGTGTTGACTGCCTCATTCTTGTATGTCTAATCTTTTCCCATGATCCTTACTATTAAAATTAGAGTCAACTTCTGTTTTTAGTCCTGTTAGATGGCCTGTGTTTTAGTTAGCTTTTTATTACTGTAACAGATGTCTGAGAGGAACTACTTAGGGAGGAAGGGTGAAGTTTATTTTGACTTTGGGTTTTGCAGGGTCCCAGTTCAAGATTGGGCAGCCCCATGAGCGTGACGAGGGTGGAGGTGGGCAGCAGTGGAGTGTGGTGGAGGAGCACTCAGATGGCAGACCAGCAAGCAGAGAGAGAACACCTTGGCCATACTTTGCTTCTATAACCAACCCTCTCACAAGAACTACCTTCTGGAGCCAGCATTGCAGTGCTTCCCACGCCAGCATCCCATATCAGAGTGCTGGTTCAAGGTCTGGCTGCTCCATTCCCAGTCCAGCTTCCTGCTGATGTGTCTGGGAAGGCAGCAGAAGATGGTTCTAGTATGTTGGCTCCAGTTCATGTGGGAGACCTGCATGAAGTTCATGGCACCTGGCATCAGGCTGGCCCAGTCAGTCATTTGGGGGGTGAACTAACAGATGGAAGACTCTCTCTCTCTCTCTCTCTTTCTCTCTGTGTGTGTCTCCCTCTCTCTCTGTCTGCATTCAAGAACTACCTTTCAAGGGTACCCTCACAGTAGCCTAAGGACCTCCCACTAGGCTCATCTTCCAGACGTTGTATTTCTGGTCAAGTGTTTAACACGTGGTCCTTTAGGGGACAGCCAAACCATTACCCAAATAATTGCAGCCTGTATTAGTATTTTCCTAAAGCAAATTATAACAAATTATGTTTGGTGGACATTTCTGTGTAGTAGAAGCCTGAGTATGCTTATCCTCAAAGGAATCGATACATACTTAAATGTTTTAGTTGTCTAGAAGGGCTCATTGTGGCATAATTTGAATGTGATATGGGTCATTACATTAGAGAGAGGTTTCTTTTTTTCTTTTTTTTTTTTTTTTTGTAAGTTGTCTTAAAGGAACCATTAGGTAGGAAAGTTGTAAGCAGGAGAATGTATTCTTTTTTTTTTTTTAATTAT